TGGAGGAACTGCCATATCAGATCCGCCCGGTATCGGATGGGCCCACAGGAGACTGTCTTATCCCTGCTGTGCCTGCAGTAGTGCAGTAACTCGCCCATCCGCACCTTTACATCTTTTTCGGGGAAGCCCTTGGACAGCCAATTGAACTTTAAAACGTATACCCCGACTTCGTCAGAGTATTGAGGGGGAGGGGAGGAGATCATAGAAAACCTTTGAAACATTAATCTTTTAACCGTGCTGTGAGGTACAAACCAGTAACTTGACAAAATTATTGACTTTCTGGCAATAATAAAGACGACAATAGACTCTCACCTTTCCAAGCCATTGATGGTGGTAATGATACCTAAGTCCAACAAAGTACTGGCCGGAATTTTCAAACATTCGTAAGGATGCTTCGCCTCTCTAACACAGATGACCTGCGAGATTTTTTATATATAGTCTGTCATGCAATAAGTGGGCGACAATAATTAAGTGTACGAAAAACAAAACACTTGCGCATGGTTACAGACAAGACAAACATTCTCTTTTTCTCCTGAACAGCACACTGTGCCGATGATGAATGTGTTTTGCTTATTATAAATTGACACCGGTGCATACCTTTTAACCTTCACTTCGCTTCAAGACAACTGATCGTCTTCGATCCCCTCTAGCTGTAGGGCAACGCAGCAATCGTGCAAAGCTCTGGGTCTCAAGATCTAACAAGGACAGAAGAAAAACATGCTCAGTTGAGCAATGAATGGTTTATGAACTGGAATGGCGCGTGCCATACGATCATACAGCCGAATGAGACAACGTCCAAGACGTCAACGAATGCTCTAGATAATGTATGCACATAAACAGTACACACCACACCACAGGACATAGACCCCTTAAGGACACCCAGCACTTCCGTTAGCACTTCTTGTATAACAATCCCAACAGTACACACCACACCACAGGCCATACCAGACCTCATCAAACAGGTCCCTTAAGCACACCCAGCACTTTCATTAGCACTTCTTATATAATAAATCCAAAGGTACACACCACACCACAGGCCATACCATACATTATCAAACAGGTCCCAAAAAAGGCATACCCAGCACTTCTAATAGCACTTCTTATATAATAAACCCAACAGTGCACACCACACCACAGGCCATATCATACATCATCAAACAGGTCCCTTAAGCACACCCAGCACTTCCAATAGCAATTCTTATAGAATAAATCCAACGGTACACGCTACCCACAGAACATATCATACCTCATCAAACAGGTCCCTTAAGGACACCCATATGTTCCACAGAATCTTGTTTACCACTTCGTCCGAAGTGTTATTGTCTGGGAAAACACAATCCACTTCCGCTGCCATCTCCAGAAGCTTGGTGACCATCTCTGCAGAGCAGTTGAAACAGTACAAGAATGTTGGACATCAAATGACAAATGTCAAGCCCACGGGTTTCACGGCTATTAATTGAGCGCGGTTATATAGCTTCATTATGTTGCAGGTGACAGAGAATAAAAGTCGATTTATAACAATTTTTGCACATGAAAAGAATAGAAAATTAGTTTCTCCACTTCAACTTTATTCAGTTGTTGACACATAAAGCGACACCATAGTTCCATTGTGTTGCAGCTGACAAAGAAAATAACAGAAGCATACCCAGCACTTCCATTAACACTTCGTATATAACAAATCCAACGGTGCAAACCACCCACGGTGTACCATATCATACCTCATCAAACAGGTCCCTTAAGGACACCCATGTGTTCCACAGAATCTTGTTTACCACTTCGTCCGAAGTGTTATTGTCTGGGCAACACAATCCCCTTCCGCTGCCATCTCCAGAAGTTTAGTGACCATCTCTGTAGAGCAGTTGAAACAGTACAAGAATGTTAGACATCAAATGACAAATGTCAAGCCCACGTGTTTCACGACTATTAATTGAGCGCAGTTATATAGCTTCATTAGGGATGAGAATAAAAAGTTGATTTATAACTATTTATGCACGTATCGTCGAAAAGAATAGAAAATTAGTTTCTCCACTTTAACTTTATTCAGCTGTTGACACATAAAAACGACAGTATTAAGCTATTAATTGAGCGCAGTGACAAAGGAAATAAAAGTTGTGCTATCTCTTTTTGCACGAAATATGTAAAATAAGAGAAAATGTTTTCTGACACATAAAGACGACACACAGGTTTTGTTTCATATTTGCTCGTACCTGTAGAAGAATTCAGGCGAATCACACTTTTTGTCCCCGTTTTATCTATCGAACCAAACCAGAAGGAATATACCCACAAATTAGCTGATCTTTGTGTAAAATTGTTACTATATCTCATTATTCAATCTTCTATGCTTGCATTGAATGCAGATGTAAATGACAGTTGGAATAAGCTGAATGCTGCCAATGAAACAAACCCAAGTAAGAATTGATTTCAATCGTCATGTTTTGATAACAGAAAATATGTGTCAACCAGAATGCTATGTGTATAGATCTATTATTCTATGATTTTGGCCATACACTCGGAAACTGAGATTATCGAACATCGAATAAAATATAGCAAGGACGTTGGACGTCAAATGATAAATGTCAAGCCCACGTGTTTCATGACTATTAATTGAGCGCAGTTATATAGCTTCATTATGTTGCAGGTGACAGAGAATAAAAGTTGATTTATAACTATTTATGCACGTATTGTCGGAAATAATAGAAATTTAGTTTCTCCACTTCAACTTCATTCAGTTGTTGACACATAAAACGACACTAAATAATAATTGAGCGCAGTTATATAGTTTCATTGTGCTGCAGTCGGCAAAAGAATTAAAATTTGTGCTTTCTCCTTTTTGCACGAAATATGTAAAATGAGAGAAAATATTATTCTGACACATAAAACGACACAGATTGTGTTCCATATTTGCTCGTACTTGTAGAAGGATTCAGGCGGATCACACTTTCCCTCCCGTTTTAATCTATCGAACCAACCCACAAGGAATACACCCACAAGCTATCTGATCTTTGTGTATGATTTTTACTATATCTCATCATTCAATCTTCTCTACTCGAATATCCATACATAGGTCTTCATATTGACTTTTTTTGAGATACATTTGTGTTTATCCTGTAACGTCATATTAAATAAGATCATGTTTTTTTCACTAGACCAAGGAATTTATCTGCGTGTTGACACGTATCTAAACATCTTGATACGTTTAGCTTGTCATGAACATAAACGCAGCGACTACAAAGAGTTGAACTTCTTTTTCAACACCAAATTGCAATGGTGGGAGTGATAAGGTCGTTTAAGGCATCGCCTATACTCTTAAAAGTATATTATTCAGGATTCCATTAACAGACATGTTATACGTTGTTTACTGTCGAAGCGAATGGTAATGATTCGTAAGTTTTTTTGAAGTATTTGTTTGTAGGTGTTAGATTGAACTCTAGTAGTGTGTTCGTGTACACAGATATTCAGGCGCCATAAAATAAGGAAAACCTTGGTTATCCTTACAGAGTGCTTAAATATCGCTGTTATTGATATTTCCCCTAGAATTATCATGTGGGCGTGAACACGATGTCCAGTAGAAAATATGTAGCGAACAGATGTTAGAATGATACCGCTGATTTTTGTTTCGTGGTAAATTTTCGAGTAGTTCCTTCTATATTACTTGTTTTTATTTCGATAAAAACCAGTAAAACATCAAATCGGGAGTCTAATCAACGTACTTTGATAGTGACCTGTTCCATCTTAATCCTGATCGTGTCCGTGATGGTGCCTGGCGATCCTCGGATTGATTATCATCGGCATTATTTAAAAGTTCATTAGGCGGCTTAGAATGTTCTTTCTTAAGATTGTCATCGCTATTGAATCCGAACAGGAGAGACATACGTCATTCAAAACTTACTTTGATGGAGTTTGCACTTTGCTTAGTCGCCATGATTCCAAGAAAATACACTTGCTACTCGACGAAGTATCATTGCCGCAACGAGGCGGTCTAAACTCCACTGGAGTGACCTATGCTTATTTCTGAGTCAGAGTCAGAGTGCTACATGCGTGATAATAGTCACTACTGAGCGGAATATGTTGATTGTAACGCAAGATATTCCACTACCTGATAAAAGTCATTTCACTAGCTGATAAAACCATTCCACCGAGTATATTTAGATGAATTTATCAATTGGTTGTAATTATTTATCGACATTTCGATGGTTTTTGTTTTACAGTTCTAATTTATGTGGTTGTCATCTTCAGGGTGATATGGTTTACTACGATGGTGGAGGCGGTTGCTGATACAATCGTGATCGTGTGCTATCTCCTTCCAGATTAGTTGCTTGTGCTTTCTATTGTAGGGTTCCAATAAAGAGGTTTCCGACTACTATTAGGAGCCAAGTTAGTTCTGGTTTGAACAAACTTGTATTACATTATATACTTTCTGTTTACGACAGATGTGACTGGTTGCAATAGCAGCGCAATCAAGCGAGTGACTCTTCGAGTCAATCTCGTGGGTCATTACGTTTACAGTATCTTTTAAAAGAATAGCTGCATATGATTATTGAAATTAAGAATTCTTTGTGTCGGCAGTTATTATCTTACTTGCACAGTTTACCATAACTTTTGGTTACTTCTGTTGCGAATCAGTTGTCAATGATCACATCGGTGTTGATAATACATTTTGTCACGGTGGTACTTTTAGTAAGGCAGGTCCACCATATGTTTTTGGCGATGCTTTTAGTTGCTCCTTGACTGGCGGCGGCAATATTTTGGACCATGGACGCTATAAAACACACTGTCCGAGGGCTGTGTATTGTTTTCCATTTGATGGTAAAACCTATTTTTTGCGCACTGGTATGTGTATAAGATGAGCACTGTAGTATCAAATAAGTACTCTGGCGCATGTTGTTTAATGTATCAAATACAACACTCAAACAAAACACAATCTTTGATTCTGAACAACTTTAAAATGGAGAGAGTATTCTGAACATTACAAGCCTACAAAACATCACAGGCAATAAAGATGAGACTACCATATTTTACTTATCTGAAGCTATTCCCAGACCAACAGATTATAGTACTTGATAATGATACTTTTAGTACCCACAGCAATGTTGTAAATCGCGCTCATTGACGACGGTGATATAAATATATATATATATAAATCTTCTTTGCGTGTGACTTTACTACTCTGCGCGTATCAACCATCTGTTTGCTTATAAGTCGGCTCATACGAAATCCCCGCTTCACTTTCTCCGCGAGTAAGAAAAAATGCTATAAGTCATTCTGAAAATAGTTTTCGAGTCTTTGTCCACCACTTTTTGCGAGCGAATACCCTTCCTGGATACTCCCATGTGGTCCATCAAACGCAGGCAGTACTTCACATTGCGTAGCTGAACAATCACCCCAAAACAGAATACAGTAAAGAAAGATATCAGTTGCAATATACATTCATGTTGTGATCTAGTTTCAACCGTCCAATAAGGTATCAAAGTGTGTATAAGACATACAACATCAGATCGACTCTATCTAAACTCAAAAATGAAATAATCTGTGCACACTGCAATATTACCATGGAGCTTCGAGTTAGTATTTAATTGCAGTTGCATGGTGTAGATACATGCCGCAAACACAGCGAACCAGCAATATAATATTGAATATTCGATCAAAGGATTTAATAGTGTATGTACATCCTTTTGTTAATCTAATCCTATCGAGCGCATAGTGCGTTGTAAACAATTTCAGCACAATAAGAGCAAATTGCGATACCAAACTTATAAAAACAATGTATGTAGGCCTTAGTGTGACTCTGCGCTTGCAGAGTTTACCAAAATTCTATAAATCCCTACTGAAAGCCTACTTACATATATTCACTCTCACACTAGTAAATACAAACTACTTTACGCCAGATTTGTCGCAATCATACACGTCTTTGAAATTTGTTCAATACAGATGTTCGAGATTAAATTGATGGGATGAACGAAGGTGGTTCATATACACACATACTACACATCCAGCTATAAACACACGCGAGACTAAGATCTATAGGATTACAAGTTTTGTCACGAATACTTTGAAATTGCATGCTCTATAGCCACAGATACTCACCTTTTCCTCGGCTGTGTCGGGTTTCAAAACGTACTCCGTCAGTGGTACGAAGAATTGACCCAAACTACCCAACAGCCATAGAAAGCGTACACCATCATGCATTCCCTCTGTCAGATCTTCCACCGGCCCAGTTGTCAGGACACCCACGTGAGTATCCACAAACTGTAGCATAAGCATGCACACCTTGTCGACCTTTTCTATTTCAGCACTGAAGAGAGAGTCAAAGGCGTCCTGTGTCTCATCTAACATCGTAGTGTGTGATTGATTGGGAGACTTAGCCTTTCATTTGATTTGAGATACCGAAGATTCTTAAATTGTGGTTTACTTTTCTCAATTTAGCAAACCAAACCTCAAGCAAAATAAATAATAACCAAAGCCATACAAGCCACTATAAAACGTCGCAAAAAAACAGAACATACTCACAGCTTATTTATTCCAGATTTCTAAAGATTGTATGCTGAGTGATCTTAGTTTGTGATCCGCAGTAACTCGTGTGATAAGGGCCCGTATAAACGAAAAATAGTGTTTTACAAACTAGATGATATAAAATAGGGCAACGGCCCCAATATTAAGTGTCTGATGCCCTACATACGGACCCATAACATATTTTTGGGATACTTGACCCAAAACAGTAAAGGTACTTTTCAGTTTTGAACCGCAACCGCAAATATCACAAAAATGGTACGTATTTAAGTGAAGTTCGCTAGTTTATGTACTTTTTTGGACTAAAACATATAACTATTTTGCAAGTTGAAGGCTTTCGAGGGTCTGGGACCCTCGGAAAGTAGACCTCGAAATAGTAAATTATCATTTTTGTGAAAAATTGTTTCTGTACATTCTTTGGTCCACAACTATTTTGAGGCAACTATTTCGGTGAACTATTTTTCGTTTATATACGGGCCTTAAGTCTTCTCAGCACACTGGATCAAAAGATAGCACTTTCCGATCGTACGGGTTGCTATTGCAGTTGCTATTTGTGTATCAGTGACACAAAACCGCAAACACTTCTGTTAATGCATCATCGTGTATACTCTGTGACACAGATACCCAGAAATACACACCTGTATCCGAAAGCAGCTGATCCAGATCATCCTCCTCAGTCTGCCGGATCATGTGTGCGGGAATGTTATTGGCAGTACGCCTCTCAATATTAAGTTTGTGCGTTTCTGACTCGTCGCCTGTAATAACATGTGACTCCGTCTTCTGTATCACATTCCCGCCTCTGATCATCTTGAGTAGTCGTATGTGAGGATGTGAGGTTGCAGGGGTTAATGTCTGTCTGACTAGATGTAGAAGCGTGTGTGTACTGCGTTTTCCATCGAATTGGATACGGAGCAGTCTGGAATATCAACGAGGCATCTGTGTGATGAGTATGAAGTAAAGTCACGTTGGTATAAAAAATATGGTATATAGCCTATGTTTGCTCAGTGAGAGAGTAGCTACAATGGTCACTGCAAATCCAGGAGAGAAGAAATGGGGAGAGTTCACTGAGAATTGCATAATGGTAAGTAGAAAGACAAATGCAAGGCTAGAATATAGCTGTGTGTCGAAATTTTCTGGCTGACAAGTACAAACTGACACGAACACAGTTGTGATTGTATCCAACGGTTGAAAATTTTATCGTCTAGATTATGCGCAGTATAAGTAGTGTACGGAAGCCACCACGCAAATTGGCAACGATATATAGGAAAGTGGGAATAATACAACGCATACACGAGCAACAGACCACTAGGACAAACCCTCAGTACCATAACGATAACACGGAATTCAACTACGACAGAGCTTTGTAGTCAAAAACAAAATATACATTCTGAAAATAGTGTCAACATACAATGTGTTGCCTCTTATTCATGCTGGCCTCGGATATGTACAGGCAATTGCTTTGCGTTGTACACACAAACTTTACATGTCAAATTACATAACCAGACACAACTTTCTCCATATCAAAAGGAGCATACTATTTACTACGCCACGATTCGTCAAACAATTTTATCCCATACCTCTCGACGAATCATTCGCACAGTGAAATCCGACGGCAAATCATAAGGACATTCTAAGTGGTGAGCTATATCGTACATCAGAGAATATATTGCCGCGTGATTCATGCTGTTGATACCTACGAACGAGAGGTTATAGCGTTAAGCAACACACGTTTGTCTATAATTTGAAGCCATATTTGTGAGTAAAACCAAAGTGTAAGTGGCTATACAAGGGTATAAGGGGCCCCTGTTGCTATAGATCGAAGCCACCAGGTTTAGCCAAAAGATGTATCTGCTTCACGAAGCAATGTAGGCAATCGTTGTTCGCAGGTTGAAAGTTGTTGAAAAGCGTAGCAAATGCTTTCAATATATTTACAATTTTACAATCTTGACCTGGTGAAGTATAGGGCACAAATATATGGCTACATGGATCTCAAGGCATAAGGCATGCACATATCATTAGGTTCCCGTTGCGAAGCGATATTTGTTAGCGTAGATTCTATGATTGCTTGATTAGAAGTTCGAAAGCAACATGTGATACATTCAATACCAAGTTGTGTCATTTGGGGTGATGTTATCGATCTGATCAGTCAAGCAAGTCATTTATGTGTATAGTATACGCCCGTACTGATGTCTTCATTTTAATCATATCATTAAAAGCGATAAGAGTTTACTGAATTGCGCAGGTCAATTTCGAATGTGTTCCTGTTGTGAAAGCTTTCGGTCAAACAAGATGGGAATATGTCTAAAGTATCAGGTTGTACCGTAAGCACACAGTGCACTAAATGTCTACGGATTAAGAACACTTGACAGAAGCTACCGAAGGAACATTTGAAAAATGACACAATATTCGCTGACCACAGTAGCTACCAGATGCGAGAACAGCATAATAGTAAAGGAAAAATCAGACTGCATGAGTGTTTCGCATAGACATCAAGTAAAATCAGGCAAGTCATACTCACAGGCAAACAAGACTGGTTCATGTACTCACGAGAGATACGCTGCTACAGAGGAGCACCCAGCAAAAAATTGGGTGTATATTCACCGCCAAACGTTTTCGTCTACGCACACAACATGGAATTTTTGGTCAATGCGTAACATGCAACCTACTTTTAGGATTATACACATCATGCCGAACCGGAAAGTAGTCCTCAAGGAATCTGATAATGCTTCCCAGGTTTTCCTGACGAGTCACCGCACTCCTCGCGAGCTCTTTGTATTCGATCGCTTTCCCCGTCAATGCACCTACAAATAACGACCGAGATAAAAATCGCTAAATGCATACTGGGGTGATGGCAATCATCCATGCTACGACTACATTCGAGCGCAAAGCCGGTAGACGCTGAAAATTTACCCGAGCACTTACTTAAAAGGAATATGATTATTTCGCCTGTCGCTAAATCAGCCATAAAGTCACGGACAACCAGGTGCTCGGATGCCGTGTGCTCGTTCACCCATCTCGATATTGCCTGGTATGAGAAGCAACAATGTAACGTTCAAGTTCAAACAGGTCAGTGTCAGCTACGAGTCTTTAGCCCAATGTGATATATGGACATATGTCATGGAGCTCAAACGTAGTATGTGAGATTCGCGCGATGGGTAGTGTGTTCTACGGTACTGGATACGGTCATAAGTATGGTTTCATAGACAAACATACAAATAATGTATATGGTATGTAGACAAAATAGAGATACCTGTACTTAATCATGATAGAATATACTAGCAGAGAACATGATTATACTGATAGGAATAAAACGAAGAAAGAGTAACACATACGAGTGAATGTTTCTAGATGTGTTCTCAATCATTATATTTCAACAAACATACACCGAACCTATGCCAATCGTGCACTTTATAGAAAAACAATCTTCTAAACACTCAATCCAAGCCTGTATAGAGATAGCTATACTTCGAATGATAGTTGAACCTGAAAGAAGTCGCATCTTCATGTCCACATAATTGAATACATATGCGTACGCATTCACACTATGAAGAATTCTCACACGTGGATCTCATGAAGGCCTAATTTATCACCCACGCATGTGCGAGAAATCGTTGAAATACTGACAAATGCCCAAACTATGTATATATGTCCACACTCTTACGCTTCAAAGTATGCCTGATTTTATGGATATTGAAAAATATTGCAAATACTTGTTTTAGAAAAAAAGAAAAGAAAGTTATATGAAAATAAAAAGCAATTCACAGGTAAACATGTATCACTCAATCGAATATATAACAAATTAAATAACGCATGTATATACTGGTTTCCACAACCACAGATAAACCTAATATATATACAAACAATACATATTTACACTAGGTATATATATATATATATATATATATATATATATATATATACACACAACACACACACACACACACACACACACACA